CGTGCTCGTGCCTCTGAGACCGGAAAAGTCTCCTCCGTCGACCAAAGGAACTTGGAACTGACGCTTCGTTCCTTGTTGTAAACGAGCATCGACACGTAGTGCCAGTTCAATCAGTCCATCAAGAGTCTTCGGTAGTTCCACAGTGTAGATTTCACGTTGAACACGGTCAGCCAGCCCATGCAGGAATAGGTCCCACTGTGCCTCCTCGTTCCATTTGCACTCGGCGGCCAATGTTCGAAACTGGATGGAATAATCGGACACGGAACTGTTGTTCTGACGAAGATCGGCCAATTGACGAGCCGCCTCACGTCCGGCCACCGCGCGGTCGAACACGCGCTTCATCTCCTGCTCGAGTGCTTGGAACGAGGAGCAGCACTCGTGTTGGTTTTGCCACACCGCTGTTCCCCACTGAGCCGCGCGTCCAGATAGCAACGTCATTACAAGTGCCACTTTACTCTCCTCCGAAAAAAATGTCACAGGCTGGAGAGAGAAGAAGATAGAGCATTTAGTTAAGAAAGCTCTGCACAAATTAGGTTCACCCGAATACCTCTCTGGCGTGGGAATGCGCGGCTCAGGACGATTGACGTTGGGAGGTGCAAGGGGAACAGGCGGGGGCGGTGCTGGCACAGCGGGACCCCTCAGACGTTGTATTTGAGAGGTGAGCTCCGACACCTGCGCTACCAGAGCCTGGATTGCCCGACCCGAAGCTCCGATCTGTTCGTCTTGGCGATCCATGCGGGCGTTGTTGTCGACCACCATCTGCCCGACGTTCTCCGCACTCGCTGAATCCATGAATGGTCAGATGGTTCTGTCACGGGGATAAAGAACAGACGTAGATTCAATTGCAAGTGAACAGGTGTTTATTTAAACACAGAGAGAGAGCAGTAGTCTAGGACGAATATGCCGGCAGGATGATGAAAGTCAGACTCGATAGCGCAGGTCTCCGTGGGCAGACAGATCAGGACCAGAAGATAACCACTGTGCTGGAACGAATCCGAGGAACAGGTACAGACGGTAGTCAGGCCGCGAAAACTCAGAACAGGACGGTATCCACCGTTGATCAGGGACAGTCAAAAGGCAGAAGAACTCCAAACCGAATAAATCCAAAGCACAGGAACAAACACTAGATCGAGGAGAGACACAGGTGAACTCCGAGAACCTCAACAACCATCTGACAAAGACAGGACGATATGACACACAATATATAGGACATTCTCATTCAACACAGCTGGCGCTAAATCAGCTCATCAGCGAGGATAACGAGCAATGCTGACGAGCCGCGCCCATTCGTACTACACACACACACATAGCGAGGGCGAGTCACTGAATCCATGAACCGTGACACAGATGGTATCGAGACCAAGACAAGACCAAGACCAAGACCAAGACAGACCAAGTCGAGACCAAGACCAAGTCGAGACTAAGACCGAGACCAAGTCGAGACCGGAGGGGAAAAAAACATTAGTGTTGAAGCTAAGCAATAACTTGTCAAATGTTGTTTTGCATTTGCCTGCCTATCTCTGCTGATTTCGAAGTCTCCAAATGAATCCATTCTGCAACTTTTAAATACATAATTATATTTTTAAAAACGAAATTATAGGCTTAAGTGCAGGATCCGAAAGTTGGTCGTTTTTGTCGCTATGGTTACACACACACACACACACACACACACCGTTGGCGGTGCGCTCAAAGTCATCTGTCAGTTGTGCAGTTACCCAAAATCTCCTGAATGAAGGTAAAACCCATCATGTCACTGATATGTGTTTTACTAAATATTAATATATCAAAAACTGTACATGATATGTGTTTTTTAAATCAAGTGATCAAAGTGCTCGTTGCCGCTGCGATCAGTGGCGCGGATACAGTGTTTTCTCGCGTGGCTCGCGCGCACCGCACTGTCTTCACTCGGACGCGCGCTTCAATACATTGCGGATATCGTCGTGGATATTGTAGTATTGTATTGCTCAATCCCCTGACCACTATGTCGGTCTGAGACAGCGAGACCTAGACAAGACCGAGAGGTCCGAGACCAAGACAAGACCGAGACCAAAGACCGTCAAGGCCGTGACAAGACCGAGACCACGTAAAAGTGGTCTCGAGACCGGTCTCGAGACCAAGACCGGTCTCGAGACATACATCACTAGTAGATAGTAGTAGATTATATGCGTTTATAAATAGACTATTACAAATGAAATATAAGATCAAATTGTTGAGTATAACCGAGATAAGTGAAGTTGCTTTGCATGAAATGTTTGTCTGTCTTTTTTTTCATATGTGGGCCTCCAACTGTTTTCATTGAAACAGGCCTCCGAAATTGCAAGGGCTGCCTCTGGACAAAGCCTCACCTTGCAACCTCAGACAGTCACAATCCAACTCTGGAAAAAACAAAGAGTATGTTACCTAACATCTTGGAAAATAAATGCGAAAACGAGAGCAGCATTCACCATTCATGCTCTTCAAAGGGGACAGATAAGAGCTGCCAATGTAGCAATGTCATATAATCTATATCAACAAATGAAACTCACTGATGAATTAAAGTCTCTTTCTTGGAAAAGAGAGGAAGAGCGACGTGACCAGGATGCGTTGGAAAGTAGACTACTGTAGGAGAGAGAAAAAAAGAGACAGATGGAGAGATGGACAATTCTGGAACATCTTGTGATGTAGAAGCTAATGTGGGTAGAGGACAATAGAGCAGCCCTTCACGTCTCATGAACTTTCTACCCCTTTCTTTTTGTGCACCTACACTAAAGGTTACACACACCTAATTATTCTTTATTGTACTATTTTTACACACTTTGAAATGATAGTAAATCTCAAATGGAAGTAGCCCATGTAAATGATGTGAAAACTAGCCAAAAGTGATGTCCGGCCGATTAAAATTGACATCTTTGCTCTTTATTAAAATATTAGTCAAATTTAGCTTCAGATTTTGTAAGCATGTTGCATAATCATGCTTTTTTAAGAGTTTTGTTTTTCTATGCATTTTTTTTTTTTTTTGCAGTAAAATAAAACCTGTATAGGGTTTTTGTCAGATTAATATCTTAACCAAGTTTGCTGTTTTGTTCTTACCCAATATATAAAAACATCTAAAATATTTTCCTCATATTTTGATGGTTTAATCAAACTTGTAGGGTCATTAATAACAAATATCAGTTTAAGTCCTCAATCAAGAAGTGTATCTTAAATTTGGGAAGTGGGTCTCTCACCGTGCATCTTTCCAACATTCATTAAAAGCTGTTTCTTTCCCGCACTTCTGCATGTTAAAAGTGATTGAACACTTTTGGTGGGGAAAGACAGAGAGGAATGAAGCCCCTCTCGCCAACTTTTCAAACCAACAGGAACGTGCCGAGCACCAGAGTGCCTTTCTGAAAGGGAACAGTTGCGTAAGGGTTCCGACGCTCCCCTCCCTTTCAGTGAGGATGGTTTTATGAAAACACCTTTGACTGAATGACATCCTGCGAAGTGATGTTGACATTCTTGTTGCAATCAACCATCAAACCCCAATCCGACTGGTTTCATCCAACTCCTTGTTGTCTTTCATCAGTGGCACCTTATCATCTCGCTCTCTTTTTTTTCACTCTCTCTGTCTCTCTTTACCTTCCTCTTGTGCTGGTTAAAATCACTCCACGGGTACATGCTGTGCCAGAGTCTTTAATAGTAGAGCAAGCCCAATAAACCAGTGTTTCTCAAACTTTTTTTGTCTTGTATAGCCCCATCCCGAGTGCTCAAATACTCCTGCAATCTGGCCAGACATTTTTTAAACTTATATTTTATTTCAATGGTCCACTTTAGACATTCTACTAACTATAAGTAACTTTGCAACTGCATGTCAAATAACTCTCATCAGAGTATTAGTAAACTGCATTAAAAAAAGTGTCATACTTTTTTTAATTCACTGTAATTAAATGCTTCACTGTTGTTCTGAATTTAACATACAGTATGTATTGTACACTGTTTAGAGATTAATCAATTTCATTTGATGACAATTTTTCACACAATCAGAATATGTACATTTAAATATGGTTTTCATATTAAAATATTTACTGTGTTACTCTTTGCAGTGTTAAAGAATAAAGAATGGATGGTACTTTTCTTTTACACTGCAATGAATTTGACTTGTTTACATCCAATTAAATCTATTTTAGTGTAATGTTATTCACCTCCACCTCACTATGGTCATCTAGTGATGAGACATCTTATCAGTCTTTGCCTTCAAGCAATATGTTTTTAACTATAGACACTGCTGGAAATTGACAAACTTTAAGTGTGAACAATCAATCTGTCTATCAAGACCTTCAAAGTACTATTACATTTAAAGTTGAACAATTTCAGGTGCAAGTTTCTGAGTCTTACTGTATATGCGCAACTGAGAGAATTGTGATTCAATGTTATTTTATACAGTTCAAATATCAAAGTTAGTTTTGCGTGAACATCTCTGTATCTTGATTTATTCAATTTCAATAGCTAAGAAAAAATGCTTTTAAAATATTAATTCAATGAAATGTGAAAACTTAGGCTCGATACTTTGACCTTTTTATTGACTAAAATGATGTCCGTGTGCACAGGCGGACATCAGGATATTATTGTCCGCTTGATCAAACTAATATCAGGGGATATGAGTGTCGGTAAATGATTCACCTGCTGTGTTGCAAGTGTTGCTTAATATTTGGATAGAGAGAGACATCCAGAATCTAAATCATGCATCAGTTATTTCAGGATGTTTAAGATGGCAAGATGTTTTGCTCTTTTATTAAATTTCAATTTATGGTTAAGAGGATCAAAATGTATGCAAAGCAGAGATGAGAATAAAAGCAAAAATAATAAAGATAGGTGTGTTTTAAAGATAAAGATGTTTAAGTTCATTCAAAGTTAACCTTCACGAAATTCTTCACAGAAATCCCTGTGTGCCGGTTTTCACGTAATGCAAACATTTTAGTACGTGCTACATACGTATGGGTTTATATTGCTGTTTGTTACATTTGCTTAAATTTTCTTTGCAGGGATTTGAAACTAGACAACATTCTGTTGGACGCAGAAGGTCACTGTAAGCTGGCAGACTTTGGCATGTGTAAGGAGGGAATCCTGGATGGCATCACGACCACAACATTCTGTGGCACACCAGATTATATTGCCCCAGAGGTACAGTATTTCACACTCTCACAGACACAAATGCCCAGTGAACACTCGATAGTCTCATTTTCTACTGCTTGGTTCTCATCAAAATATTATTATTTATATTGTTTAAAGGGGACATATTATGCCCCTTTTTGATGTAAAATAAGTCCCTGATGTGCCTATAGTGTGTATGTGAAGTTTTAGCTCAAAATACCCCACAGATCATTTTTATAACATGTTAAAATTGCAACTTTTTGGGGGTGAGCAAAAATGCACTGTTTTTGTGTGTGTCCCTTTAAATGCAAATGAGCTGGTGTTCCCGGCCCCCTTTCAAGAAGAGGGTGGAGCTTCAAGAGCTCATTCTCTGGCACACCGGCAACAACAAAACAGGACAATCTCACACACTAAACATTTTAGAAACTCTCAGTTTAGCCTTATATGTTCAGTCACCTGTAATCTGACTGTACTGTGCATAACAAATGCGTGTTTATGAATTACGCAGACGGTGAGTATGGCGGGATAAAAATAACGACATAGCTCTGGTACTGGTGCCTTCATGTGCTGTCAGAAATGCCATAATTCCCACTTCTGAAGTTGAGATTACGAGCTTGTTCCATTCAAGTGGGCGACTTCAAAGGGCGTTCATGATCAATTTTTAACTAGAAAAACTTGTATTTGCGATAATTCTGATAGCACGTAAGGGTAGCATCAGTGAAAACAGGCAGAGACAATGGCAGCTTTAGCAACATTAGCCGTACAGAGCAAGCTCTTTCAGAAAGAAAATTTGGAAGGACTCACAACATATGAGATGTGATACTTACTTTGTCTGGATCTTAAGTTTGGGCACGAAGCGTTGGTATATACGCTGATTTCACGCAGCCGCCATTTTGAAATGGCTCCGGTGGGAAGAAAACCGGAAGTGTCGCCTTTAATCATAGGAGAGTCGCGAATGCGATGGCGTATTGTTGTGTTTAATGTAGAAATTAGTCATTCAAAAAATTTACATTAATTTCTTTCATACTTTAGACTATATACAGTGAAATTCATTTATAAATAAAATAATTTTTTTATATATAATTCAGAACGTAAAAAAAGAAGCAGGAATGAACTATATACATATCCTATATTGTATATTAACATCCAATAGTGTAAATTGCGGCAGCAGCTTCAGGTTGGTAGTCCAAGGCATTGTTGTCTATCTGTACTTCCAGGGTTCTTCCCACCGGAGCCTCGCTTTCGATTTCAAAATGGCGGCTGCGTGAAATCAGCGTATCCATCTTTCAGAACCTTTGTGAAAATCCAGCATTGAAAAGCCCCTCGTTTGTGAAACAGGCGCAAAATGATTGGTGCAAACGTTTAAGAATTAAGCGATTTTCTTTGGGACATTTCCTTCGATAATGAAATTTAACCACGATGTCCCCAGTGACTCAGATGGCGGAGACTCTTATATGCATTGGTACATCCCAAAACACAACACTTGTAATGCCTCTTTGGCGCAGACATTGTACAACTCCATCTGCTACAGCGAGGATACAGAAATGGTGGACTCCCACTCAGAGCTGTGTCTATGCTAATAGGGCAGATCGCCACTGGCTGTGGGCGGGGCTTCTCCCCATTATGACATCATTATACGACAATGTTTATATTACTGATTTCGTGTTGAATGGTGGTCGTCTCGCACCCTCCTGGTGCCTGTGAGCCGCAAAACCACCCTTGCAACCGCCTGAGCCTCAGTGTTAGGAAGTATCGTGTGATATCAGGTCTCGCGAGGTAACGAATTGCTTTACGGCAAAAAAACAGATCTGATAAAATTCTGATAAAATGAGCATCAAACAGAAATAACCCGGCGCCGTATACATGTGGTGTTGGGCGCGCGCAGCTCTTAAAGGGGCCATAGCTTATTTCCACTCGTTACATCGTCCATCCTACTGAACAGGTACCGGTGTACAGGGGGAGGGGATCGGGCCGTGAGTGCGAGCCATCTCTGCGTGAGTGCTATTCACGACAGTACAAGTACTCCACAGCGACTCTAGGGGTCGCTGTTTGACAAAAACGGAATTCCTACTTAGTGCTGCTTTAAACAAAATTGCATGCAATTTCAGGAAGAACATTGTTTTGGTTGTGCTTTGGCTCTGGTGTGCAGATGAAACGTGTTCTGTCTCATGACCAAAAAAGACATTCACTATTAGGCTTAAGAGATATAACCAGTTTAGATGGAAAGGATCTTAAGCTGACTAGCTGACTGTACATTGGAAAAATAAGTTGCTGCATTTAATTTTTGAGTGCAATCAACTTGGATGTTTAAGTCATTTCAACTTAAATGTCATTCAACTAACTTTAAAAACTGAGTTGTATCTTGTATAACATTGTTGTAAATTGCTTAACTTATTTTGATGAGTTAAAGCAATGTAAAACACATGTTGTCATAACTTATTGATCATATAATTTTTTACAGTGTATCTATACCTATTAATAGATAATAGGTACCTTAAAAATAAATTCCATGACCCTTCACAACAGATTATGCTTTACAATGAACTCTGTTAGAGAGCTACATGGCAATTTATCTGTTCAATAAAATACCGTACTCAATTGTTGAGTAATAAACACGCCATCTCCTTTTACAACTTTTCAAATCTTTCAGTTCTTGCCATCTCCGAAAAGCCAAGCCAGTGTTGATTCTTGTTTTATAACAAGCCCTGTTGCGATCTCTTTTTGCCAGCAGACTCTCCTTTGTTTGGCTTTTTTTAAAACTGGTGATTCCCCGGAGGTTTGAGATTTAGCGTGCTTCATGTCAACCTTTTTCGCTCGTTGTGACAACTAACTTATGTCACTCCCACACCATATACACCCGTCAAAGTAGCCGGAGCAACGTTTATCTATTTACGGAAATGACTAGACACGCACAGGCGAGTGATGCATGTATGCGATTTCCTACGAAACCATCCCTCTAGGTCTAAAATATGAGCACTTATAATAGGCTTACCATAGTGAATCAGGTTACGACGAAAACATTATTTAAATGTTGTTAATTTTGAACAAAAAAGTTACATAGTGCACCTTTGTCAGATATTTACTGATTGATTGGTTTATCACCAGCTTTCATATTGTGAGCCTCATTCATTAAGCACAAGCCGAGATACTCTGAATTTCTTAGTAAACAGTTAGTTTTTTTTTTAATTCTTTCATATTTTGACATATTTGAATTAATGTGACTTGAGAATGGTTTTACGAACACAGATGTGTGTTTCATTAAGGTTGCCCAATGAAATAGATTTAGTTTTTCAGTGTTTTCCATTTTCAGTTAAGTCTTAGTTTTTCATTATATTCAGATCTACAGGTATGAGTTTTCATATTTAGTTTACCGTAATAACCACCAGTGACCGCGCAACTTCACAGACAACTGCTGTTTTTTCCCTATAAATCAGCACAGAACAACAAGTGCTTTGATCTGGACCTGATATATCCTCAGTTATTCTGTTGTGAGCTTCAAATGACATTCTCTTGTTGTTGTGATGTGTCCATTGCAGATCTTGCAGGAGCTTGAGTACGGCCCATCAGTGGACTGGTGGGCTCTAGGTGTGCTGATGTACGAGATGATGGCTGGTCAGCCTCCTTTTGAAGCAGATAATGAAGATGACCTTTTTGAGTCCATTCTCCATGATGACGTCCTATATCCCGTGTGGCTCAGCAAAGAGGCCGTCAGCATTCTTAAAGCGGTACGTGTCCATTCTTAGGGAATTTTCCGAAGAATTCATTTAGCTTGCTCTCTCACTCTTCTGGAAAGAACAGTCGTGAGTGTTTAAGTAATAGAAGAGCATAAGAAGATGACAGATTAGAAAAATTACACTTCTTCTGGGAAAAGAACAGATTGTTTGTGTTCCCTGCTGGATTTTTGGATTGTGTAATCTCAGAGGTCTCATTTCAGGATGAGCAGCCCACCATTGCATGGGTTCCTCCTGTTTTAACTGTCCGAATTGGTTAAGTCAAGTCAAGTCACATTTATTTATATAGCGTTTTTACAATACAGATTGTTTCAAAGCAGCTTTACAGAGATAACAGGAAAATGCAACATAGTTTGTTTCCAGAAGAAAATAGCGTCACAGTCCATCTTAAGTAAGTTCAGTGATGTTTCATTTTGTTGTAAAAAAGTTATTGATTTAGTTCATTTATATTTATAGCTGCTCTGGAGAAAACCGTGATGTCATCCCAGTTTGTCCTCCATTTCATCTTGTTGTCTAAGACAAACTATGCAATATTAAAGCAATTCCAGTGGGAAGTGTCTTTTCAGTCAATGCTTATTGCTCATATTTATTTGTCTGACTTGTTTGACTCATTTCTCTGTGTGTATTTGTATGCATGACTGCTTGTGTTCTTTAGCATTTTTTATGTTTAAGAGTTACCTGCGTTACACTCATAGGCTACAGTGCCTAAGTGCAGGCAAAAGTGGCCCATATTTGACTTAGATTGTTTATATATATATATAGTGTGTGAACAGCACAAACCACATGGAATCTGATCTTTTCGATTCTGATTTAGGCCACTTTCATATGCAGTCCTAAATAGGGCTGTCGCGGTGAAGGAATTTCCCTTGCGGTAATTTTGAGTGGCTCAATATGCGGTATTACCGCCATTTACTTATTTATTTATATTTATTTATATTTATTTGTTGCTATATAAATGCGTGTTATGATGTGGTCAGCATTCACAAAAACAATGTAACTGAAACTAAACAGCGTTTCTGCGCATTGAAAGGCTGTCACTCAGCGCGCAGTTACATTGTTACGCCAACGGACTGTCTTTGAGTGAGTCATTAAACCGATCATTCAACAAAAACGTTCAAAAAGCTGATTCCTTAAATGATAGATGTAATGAAACAAGGTGTTAATTATTTTTTAACTTTGAGCTCCACTTTTCAAGGCTCAGCTGGTCAGCAATGCTTCACTTAATAGAGACCAATGCGTGACTCGCTGCTTGCCCCCACGGCTTCCTCTCGCTGTGTAATGCTGACCAGCGCTGACGCCATTCATGGTAAATACCCTTACACGTTAAAAGGGTGATACGACAAATATTTCGCTTTACTTGGAAACGGCAACCTTTTCACGAATATACATGACTTGACTTCAAAGACAGACGCAGGTAATCGCACACGCTCAGTCGATCACATTCACTGTCTGTTACTTTAGGCAAATCCACGAAGCCTCTGTACAAATCACCATAATAAACAGTCTTGTTATCATTATTAACTTACTTAACATTCAATTCAATACACATGGTACGAACTACGAAGGGTGTAGCCTTATGAAAAAAGAAAACGCGGTTTGTGGTTGCTGCGGTTACTTGCATTCCTCTGCGGTTGGCCTGTCAGTAGCGCGGTATTGCAATATTGCGGTTATCGCGACAGCCCTAGTCCTAAATCAGATATAGGCCCGGTGTTTTGCAATGTGACCTCAGTCTGAAGAGTCATGTCGGAATTCAAGTGACTTTTACGGCAATCGAGATCGATGTTCGTCAAAATTTTGCGTGGACTGGAGAGACTTTGGTCACAGTACATATCGGTAGTTCTTTGGTCACTCTGTTAAAGCTGAAGTCGGCAAGTCTGGCAGATTGAGTGGACTTAGGCAAAATTTTGAATGTTTACAACTCTCATGGCCCTCCCCCACTATCAACGAATACCCTCCCACCGTGACCGAGTTCATGCTCGTCAGTGCGTGTGCACCAGATTTTCAGTGAACACGCCCGTCTCATCAGCATCCATCAACACCATGGAGTATTTGGAGGTATGCTGTCCTGGGTAATCTACCAATAGATTGCAATTGCTAACGTCATTTATATTCTAAATGAGCTTACTTGATTTTCCGCCATCACTCTTCGTTACTGCGCGAACTTCCGCGAACTTCAGGCGTGTGCATGTGATTGTAACGTGCGCGAGGGGTGGCGTATGGCCGATCTGTGATTGACAGTCAGATCTCACACCCCCCTGCGCTGATTGGACCCGATGATCCGGGAGCTGTGGATTTTTGCAAAACAAATAACACGCTCCAGGTGGAGTTAGAAGCTCGGGTTTTTTCTAAAACCACTTTATTTATGTTGTTCTGTCGGATTATAGTGTCGATTTCACTGAATATGATCAAAAAAATGTTGCCGACGGCAGCTTTAATATATAAAAAGACACCTGCAAAGGTAGTCAGTGGAGGGACAGTGAGGTGTTAGACCTCATTATAAACAGTGTTGGGGAAAGTTACTTTTAAAAGGAATGCATTACTTGCTTGTTTGTTTTTTAATTTTAAAAAGTTCTAGATTTGGCAGTTGTAAAGGCCCTTTCACAACAAAAGTGAAATAAATAAGCCTCAGGCTGAAGGAAATACAAAATCTCGCCTGTACTGTAGAGGGCGCATCTCAAAACCTTCAGCTGTGCTGTCATTCTGTATTGCAGAAGAATAGGATACAGGAGAAGAAATTTCAACATGTCATGTAACTATGTTGTCTATTAGTAACTATGTGACTAAAGTCATTTTTGCATGGTTGAATTGGATCATCGAAGGTCAGTAGCAAAGACATTGATTAGTAAAGTGAGATTAAATACATAAAGTATATTTGTGTTATTTAACATATTTAATTATTGCAGATTTGCGTAATATTCTGAGTTTGCATTTCACTGTTTTATTCATTTTGAGGAATACTGAATCTGTTTTTGTGCAAGTGAGATGAGTAAATGCCGGCTCAGATTTAGTCTAGAATTATAATAACCATGATGTTTACACAGCGCACACAACACTTAATCATGATTTCTCTCAACATGAGGACAGTGTCAGGCAATAAATGGGAAAATAAAGTAAATTGCATTACTTATTTGAAAAAGTAACTCAGATATTTTGTCGTAAATTTATAAGTAATGTGTTACATTACTAGTTACTTGAAAAAAAGTAATCTGATTACGTAACTCGCATTACTTGTAATGCACTACCCCCAATACTGCTCATAAAAATCACAGTGACAGCTCTATACAAGCAAAACTTCAGGGAAAACTACACATTATATATCATTCTCGTCTGTGTCTTCCACACGAATTTATGCAGCACATCACCTTATAAATGAACACGTAAACGTTGACTTCAATGGCCTCTATGTTTACTTCCACATGACAGCGTGCTGCTTGTCATCTTTTTATTGTTCTTTTGCACATGCGGGTCAGTTCAGGACTGTGAACACACTCCAATCTGACGTTGGCCACATTTAAAAAATATTGTGAATAGCCAAGAAAAAATTATATCTAAAGCCATAAATCAGAAATGAGCACTAAGGCTTGCAGTATGAATGTAACCATAGTGTCCGGGTACATCAATTTGTGTGTGTGTGTGTGTGTGTGTGTGTGTGTGTGTGTGTGTGTGTGTGTGTGTGTGTGTGTGTGTGTGTGTGTGTGTGTGTGTGTGTGTGTGTGTGTGTGTGTGTGTGTGTGTGTGTGTGTGTGTGTGTATCGCCTTTTTCCTTCACATGTCCAAGATTTACTTTGGCCGTCCTTTGCCTATTTGTAAAGCTTTGTGGGAAAAGCTTTCCTCTGTTTGTCTTGGATAGTGTCGTGCACACTGCGATCTGTCTCACTGGCACTGTGGTCACATGACCTATGGTCAGCCCAGGTCATCTTCCACAGGATGCATTCTTACATCACATACATCATCATTGACCATCCCAACTCAACATAATGCATATGTCTTCTGGTTAACACGTCTGCTGTCAGCATCACGGCCCAAATCTTTGATATTTTCTTCTCTAATCATTTCTTCTTTCTTCGCACCATTGTTTAGTTCATGACGAAGAGTCCCAGTAAGCGGTTGGGTTGTGTTGTGTCCCAAGGACTGGAGGAAGCTATTAAAGTGCATCCATTCTTCAAAGAGATTGATTGGGTACTTCTGGAACAGAGGAAGATCAAGCCGCCATTCAAACCACGTATTGTGAGTATCCTTATGTGTGAGATATTGAGGACAGTCACTCTGTTACAAAACCATTTTAAGGCATCATAGGCGAGGTGGACGACATGGCTATGCTGCAAATTCGAAGGCAGACAGTGCGTTTATCCTTCCCACAGAAGTCAATCACAGAATGCTTTGCAATGTGTCAAAAAAGCAAGATATGTGCTCAATACAAGTCATTCGATATCAACAAGAATCGTTTAAAATAGCTGTTTACTGCTATGCAGTAGCCTGGGAAAACCCAGACAACTTCCGGCAAATTTAGATTTGCTCTGAAAGTTAGTCTGGCAAAGAGCTCATTCAAGCCCATTTCCAATCCGTCGAAATCGCGGCAACCAATTAGAAACGTTGGGGTGGGCTTTACACGATGACGACAGCGCTGGGATTTTGAAGCAGATTTTGTAGCCTACATTACAAAGATGGATGCCGCCGTCGAACATCACTCGTTCGAATCAGCCATCGCGTCTGTTTTAAGCGATTTGAATGTTTCCTTTTAGTTAAAAACCGAGCAAAGAACAACACTCTGAGATGTTTCTCCTCCGCTCTGCATACGTCATCTCCTTCATCACTCTGATTGGTTTTAGGTCTATCCGCGACGTCCGTTGGTGACGCCCCTCTGGAAATGATTTGTCTATGACGCTTTGCCAGACCATAATTCAGTTACAACTGAGAATGGTCTGGTTTTAACCAGGCTAGCTATGGAGTATAGGCTAATATTTTTTATGCTTATTGTTATCTTAGCAACTTGCTCATTTTGCATAAATAACTACAGTTAATGCTAAACTGGAATCAGTTGTGAGTGGAGTCTTTGAAATTGCCACCTACAGTATATAACGCATTCCGAATTGCTAATTTATTTAAGTCCCATTTAAATTAGGATTCTGCCTTAAGGTGCAGTCACATTCGCACAATTGCACAGGCAAAGAAGGGTCCTGATTGTTATTGAGGAACTAGGATATACCGCTTGATGCTTTTTCACATCGTGTCTGGTTAGGACACAGTTTAACTCTGTATATTGGCTGGTTCACCACAGATATAAACACGGGCCGCTCTAAAGGCAGTTATCTAGAGAACATTACGGTTCTTTAAAGTGTTTATGTCACATGTCTGTTTTTGGTAGTGTGAACAGCGGGATATCTGAGATGCTCTTGGACTCTCAGCACACATCAGACACAGTACTTTGATACAGAGATGCATGCTGGCTGCTGTTAGTGTGTGTGGAATGCATCTCAGATAGTGTGAGGATGGGTCTGTCCGTCCACCCCATTCTCACGCCTGCTCACAAAGCTGATGAGAGCCCTTAGAAGGTGTGAAGGAAAGGAGAGGTCTGAAGAGTTGGGGAAAATAACATGCACAGATATATTTTGTGTGTTGTGTTTTAAACAAGGAGAAACTCCTTCACTGTGCCAGTGATTACCAAGAAAAGTTGTCAAACTGATTGTCAATCCATGATATAAACAGATGGAAGTATGTTAATGCATGTTTCGACAAGGGAACCTGCATGATTTCATCTGAGGGTACGCACAGTGGGTAAGGTTTTGTTGTTGTTGTTGAAAAAATGTATTTGCTAAAGGTAACAATTCAACTAAAGTTTTAATTTTCTGAGTATGTCTGACATTCATGTATCTATTACACACTTCAAACAATCAGTGAGAGCAATTGTCTCTAGACACATTTTAAAGGGTTAATCCAAAAATGAAAATTCTGTCATCATTTACTCTCCTTCATGATTTTGGTTAATCTTCGAAACACAAATTAAGATATTTTTTATTGAACCCTGAGAGGTTTTTCTGTCCCTCCATTAAATGTCCAGATAAGAAACACTTAGAAAAGGTGTCATACAACGAATCCATAATCCTTGGTTTAATCCAAGTTTTATATAATAAATACTTAATACCTAAATATACTTAAATATAAATATTTATATAGCATGTAATGGAATCACGTGACCCCTGCACAAGCTTCTGTGTTTAACCATATGTAATGCATTATATGGATGCATATGGATGCATCTATGGATTTTTATTGGCAAAGCACTAATGGGTAAATTACCCATTTACATTTCAAATTTACTTACTTACCAAAACAGTATTTACAGAACAAGGTCGTCAAAAAAAATATTATTAATTATTCCATCAACAAAAAAAAGATTTTGGTAAAAAAGCTTTTTCATCATATGCACCAAATGTCTGGAATGAACTCCAAAACACTTTAAATTTAGAATCACTTCCATCTATTCATATTTTTAAAAACCTTTAAAACTCAACTTTGACTGAACAGTGTAATTGTTTTTAACTAGGTACCCTTTAAATTATATGTTTGTATTTACTTAAGTTAAACAAAATGTCTTGTTTGTATATGTATAGTCTATGTATAGAGATTTGTTGTGTAGTATGTAATTTTTTTTTTATGTTTCATGTAGTATGAATGTTTTTTTTTCTTTGCAACTTTTTGGCCGCCTATCTTGGCCAGGACTCCCTGGGAGAAGAGTTACTGTAACTCAATGGGACTATTCCTGGTTAAATAAAGGTTAAATTAAAAAATTCGAAATCGAATACTTCCCTACTATATGATATGTGACAAAAGAAGTATGTCCGAATTCACAGTACCTATTGAAGAGTAGACAAAACATACCCGGATGACCTATTACTCCTGGCGAGATTCTGAAGTGTGCATACGATGGACACGTTACTAGGATTTGTGGTAACACTTTAGAATACGGTTCCTTCGTTAATGAATAACTACACAGGAACAAATGAGTAACACAATATTAACAATCTAGTAACTACTATTAACTAACAAGAAATTCTGATTAACGAATTAGTAAGTAACAGCGCACAGATGAAAGTGGTACTTCACTATTAACTAATTGATAACTACTTTTTTTTTAATGCTTCCCAGAGAACTACTGAAGAAAATTAATAGTTCATGCAAAACTAATCAATAACTAATGCAGGACAAATGACTAGCACTACATTAACATTAATAACTGCTGTAAACAAATACACAAGGTTTATCAATATGTAATAGCATAGCAGACTTATGATTTGGGAAATAATTAGCCTATGCTCTCTCCTAGAGAACTATTTATCAACTGAATGATTTTAAAGAAATGGCTTTTTAAATGCAGTTGTCGGGACCTTACTTGTCCTGTAGTGATTCAATGCCAGTCCAGAGGAATGCCAGAAAATTGTCCAGAGTCACGGTGACGGCTGGAACATATTGAGTTATCGGCCATCCAAATACCATATAAATATATATGTATATAAAAAGATTGTATTAATGTCTCCTACTTCATACGTGTGTGCAAATATCTTGTGAAGGATTAGAAGATTCTACACTTTAGGATTGGCTTTTCATGTAAGAATCATGATAACTAACTAGTAATGACTCAAGAGTTACTACATACTTCTATGGTAATTACTATCTAAAACTTCACCAAAAACCTCAAAAGCTTAAAAGAATTAGTAATTCCTTTAGAAGTATGTAGTAACATTTGAGTAATTACTAGTTAGTTACCGTGATCTTCACTTTAGAATACGGATCCAAATAATTAGTCATTCCTTTAGAAGTATGTAGTAACACTTGAGTCATTACTAGTTAGTTACCATGATTCTTACAGTAGTTCTCTGGGAAGCATAAAAAAAAGTAGTTATTGATTAGTTAATAGTGAACTACCACTTTCATCTGTGCGCTGTTACTTACTAATTTGTTAATCAGAATTTCTTGTTAGTTAATAGTAGTTACTAGATTGTTAATATTGTGTTACTCATTTGTTCCTGTGTAGTTATTCATTAACGAAGGAACCGTATTCTAAAGTGTTACCGGATTTGTGAATGGCAGTGAAGCGACGCAACTGACGCTGGTCTATCACATGATAAGGGCAACATGGTGAATGTGGTATGTCCCTATTAGATTTGGTGTTCACACACTCATACTACATAGAACGTACTTTCTTAGCAGTCGTGAAGTACTTATTCAAAATAAGTACCTACTCAAGAGAGTAGGTACTTAGCCTATGTACAGTATGTGTGTTTATACTGTATGTGAATAGAAGCCTAAATTAATTATTTTCTTAATCAATTTAATCTCTTCACAAGACTTGGATTAAACAACTTGATTCTTATGGATTCATTGATTTTTTTTAAATTAAAAATATCTTAATTTGTGTTTTGAAGATTATCCAAAGTCTTATGAGTTTGGAATGACATGAATGTAAATTGGTGAGCTACCCCTTTAAATTATTTAAAACAAAATGCTCAAAGAAATCCATCTAGCACATGTTCAAATAGAAAAACAACGGAAAAACAGCATGGGTGGACAATGGCTGCTTATTCAATGCTGCATTTTCTCAAAGTTTTCTCTCAAAAAGAAACCTTTAGTTTTAATTGTTTGTTGATGAATGTCCACTTCATACCGCACTGCTTGCTCTCCCTTAAATCCTGATACTGTGTTTTACCGAGTGAGAAATGGCAAGTGATTCTAATGATTCATTGATTCAAACCGTTTTGCAAACCAATTTGGACAATTCACTGAAAAGAAAATAACGTCTCAATAGAATGATTAGTTCACAGATGATTGGCATCATTGGTTCAGTCGCCAGAAATATGGGACAAGCATAGTAACTGCTGAAACATTGGCAGGGAAAGTGTTTCTCGGGTCAGTCGGAGTGCTGAAGTCCCCACTGTGTTTGTATGTGCAAGTGTGCTATTGTCCTGAAATCTCTCATCAATCACAAACTCTTCTTCTCCTTTCACAGAAAACCAAAAGAGACGTCAACAATTTTGACCAGGACTTCACCCGTGAGGAGCCGGTGCTCACCCCGGTAGAAGACGCCATTATCAAGCAAATCAACCAGGACGAGTTCAAAGGCTTCTCTTACTTCGGTGACGAGACTCTGTCTTAAAACTAAAGCCTCCATCTCTTGCGCTGTACTTCGCACACAAGTGCGCTGCGAACGCTGTGAACGCCCATGAGCTCACTGTAGACCATCATTCACCAAGAATTAGATGCTTTCATTTAAAAGTAGACAGTTAGGCATTACAATTTTTCCTGCTGAACCCCCCCAAAACACACAGATCCTCACACATTTCCACCAAATGAAACGGAGTAATCTTTATTAAATGTATGTAAAACACACTGAGCTATACTTAGAGGAGCTCGTGTGACACCACTAAAGCAGATGGATTGAGCTCATTCGAATCTTATGGAAAGCCATTTCATGTTTCATTTCTTCTCCCATAATGCAGTGTGTCAGGGTTCCACTGAAGTCAACACATTTATATGAGCACCGTTTGGAAATGCAAAAAAGACCAAATGTACAGAACCAGTGATTGTATTGCAGACGTGATGCTGCTGAACGTGTGAATTGGGAGTTTTAAAGCACTCAGCATTGGGATCGGATCACAGAGACAGGGACTGGGAAGGTGATGCACAGACTCAGAACTGCCTTTCATGAGACCATCGCACCGTTTCCATTTGAAACAGCAGTATTGACATATACTCGTGTCACCAAAACAAGTGTTGTGCGTGTGTGTGTGTGTGTGTGTGTGTGCGCACGTACATACTGGAGGGTAAGGTTACAAAATGTCCCTCTTTAGTGTGTGTGTTTGTGTGTGTGTGTTCATTATATTACTGGATTGTTTTGTTGCTAGGATGTGAAACCTGTTGATTTCTCTACAATGCAACAAAGCCCATCATAATGAACGGGTCAGGACAGTAGCCAATCATGTCGCTACAGTCTACAGTACATACATGTCCTGAGTACCCTAATTGTTAGCCTGTGAACTTTGAAAATAGACTAATCATCTACTGCATGGTTATGCCTATGATATTCTCATGTATTATTAGAATATGAGAAACAGTTATGTGCAATATTCTCTCTCTCTCTTTGTGTGTGTGTGTGTGTGTGTGTGTGTGTGTGTGTTGGTCTATCGTTGATTTTTTTTCTCCCCCCTCTCCATTTCACCTTCTGATTCAATGTCTCTGATTTCCACTGTTTCTTACAGTCGGTCTGTTTTGTTTTCTTATTGGTAGGTTGTCAGGTCATGTGATTTACAGCACAGGTCCTTTATTTCAGCTGCTCCAGACTCTGTCTTTCATGTACTCTCGTTAGACAAGAGACCAAATATTAAGCTCCTGTGGCAAAAACAAAAAGTTAAATGCATACAAATGATCTTCCATTCTAAACATTGCACAACCTTAGACTTTCTCACAACCTGTGATGCAAAATTTAAGTTTTTTTTTTTTTTTTTTTTTATCCAATCAGTTCATTTCATAATAAACAGAATAAATAATGACCACATTTATAATAAATGCAACATATTAAACATTTCATTGCAAGTTTATATATGTTTTTGTTTTAGATATTTTTTCTTCGTAGTTTTGCATATTCTTGCCAACACCGGGCTTTAACATGAAATCCAGACTGATTGTTTATATATTTTTTTAAAGTCACCATGAAATCAAAATTGACAATTCTTATTTTGTATGGAATTTAGCAGAATATTATTTATTATAAATTATTTATCCACGCACATCATTATTTTAAAATTCATGTTCCCTCATAAACTTGAATCAAAAGAACTTCCCCTCCCTCTTGCAGACATCTCTTCTCTTCTCTGATGACATGTTTACTGGCATGAGGGCGGGACAATGAGCCGGTCCTGGTCTTAATGAGCACCATTTATCTGTAATTCGAAGTAATAAAAAAAAAAAAAAACTTCTGAAACATCTTTTTTATTTATTTATTTGCCCTTCAAGTCTTTAACCCCTTGCATCCAAACACCTTCATTTTACTGTGAACACTCACTTTTCACAGTCCAATCAATTCCTGTTGCATAATATTTATTTCCTGTCCTACATTTATTCTCATATATAAGATCACCAAAAAAAAAAAGGCTTGTGAACAGCGTTTCATGTTGACTTTGAGGCTTTCACTTTTTTACTGCATATTTTACAGGTTATTTTGATTTATTTATTTTTTTTATTTTTTTGCATTTCTGGTTTTTACTTTTCATTGGCCTGGTTGTTTTCTCGAAGCATGTTCGGCCTTATTTGTGCCCTTCTGAACCGGCATCTAAAGGCCTCGACGGAGCAAAACTCACGGAAACTCACACAGCTGCACCTGCCAAATACCTGTGCCCTGATGAGCAATTTACAATGTTATTTTGGACTTCATGAGTGACATGTTTATTTTTTTCTTTTTACTGTTTTTGAAATGACTATAGGAAACACATTGACATGTTTAAGCAAAATAGATGAAAAAGTACCTCTTTGGTTAAACGTGAATCTGTGTATCACAAAGTAATACATATTTGTATATACAGAGGTACAGTGCATTTTAATATAAATTATACAAGTGTTTTATGTCACTGTAAGTATCATAAATGTGTATGTATTTCTTTTTTGTATTGTATTTTGCAGCTTCATATGTACAGTATGTCATAAGACGTGTTTTTTTGGTTTTGTTTTTTTACATCTTTACCATTAGTCACTGTCATGTCGTTATTTGCATTTTACTATGTGCCAAATGTACTGTTCTCAAAGGATGTGAATGTCCATTGTTTGGTTTGTAACCTATTAAATAAGATGTCATAAATTAACCAAACTGTTTGAAGTGCAAATAGTCTCCAAATGCATACTGTAGCTGAGATGTTTTGTGCATATTCTATATTTTTACAGAGAACACAATAGTGGCTGATTGTCATATAGGCTATAATTAGATTGCAATTTTAGGCCATTATTAATTTAATCATTGTGATCACTAATGGGAAGCATCTGAAAGAGAGAGAATTTAATCATTGAAATAAATTAATTAAAGAACTGTAGATGGAATTGTTGGAAGAACAAACAGTTAAGGATGAGAAAAATGAGAGGGTGACCCAGAGAATTTTGGTCAAAAATAAGGGTCATCAAGACAAAAAACAACGAGTGAAGGATTTGTCCTGTCACATGTGACCTTCTATTCTAAATAGAGGCTATAGATGTCCGAGGACATGAGGAAATGCATATGCTTGTCATTTCAGGAATGCTCAAAACTAGGAACTGCTCTTTGTGCAACAGTGCAAAAGTTAAAGTTGTATTGTGCTGTATTTTGAGAATAAATGAATAAATGACAGTAGGTCATTAAGCACACAGACTATATATATATATATATATATATATATATATATATATATATATATATATATATATATATATATACATATATATATATATATATATATATATATATATATATATAAAATGAGCAGGGAAACATCAAGTAAAATGAGAGCAGATTGTCATAGAATGGTAAAAAAAAAAAAAATACATTTACAGATAACAGTCATTTCAAAATTAAGTTATATTTTCAAATTATTTTAATAACTTCCTCTGATACAGAAAACCCATTGGACAGATATTATTGAAGCTGCATATGTTGCATCAAAAAATAGGCAAGGACATTCCCCAAACCTTTTCCAAAAAAGTGATTCTGTTACTATTAAAGGTGCATTGCGCACCTCTCTGAGTTTTTGCAGAACTATGCCCCCCTCTGGCGACAAGCGAAACTGCCTTACTGTCTTTGTCTTGCGTGGAGTTTGCGTTGGGGTTTATGAACTACAAGCCGGTCTCTTTGAATCCATCTTCTACTTTTGTCGAAAGTTGACTGAAGTTTTGTCGCTCGAGTTGTCTTTGCTAATACGGAGAATGGCGGCGAATACACAAACCTGCCAGACATAGCCAGGGGAGCGTGAACGCGCATGACGTCACGCCCAGTCTCACGTTCCGGCCCGAATCCCTCTTATTTATTTTACTGTACAGGATTATAGAGGCAATCGCAGTGATCAGAGAAGGGCTCATTCAGCCCATCAGGCAATTGTTTAAGCATGTATGGGTTAGAAAAACGGGTATTTTTAACATGAAATGTTGCGCAATGCACCTTTAAGGGTCAAAACACAGAAAAAATACAATAATATAATACAAATCCAGGAGTGATGCTAGTCTGTCCACCATTCACCCCCAAACACAAGAAACATATTTCATGGAGGACTGTGATAAACACTATCAGTTTCTTAGAAAAGTCATACACTATGCTGTCTCACAGTCACCCAGTTGCCCTGCTGCACGGGCAATCAGAACCGTACAATCTACAGAGTTCAATAAGCTAGTCGCATCCAAAGCAGTATCTAAAGCCCTTGCATTCTTACTATCCTCGGTTTAAGTTTGGATGCGTGTCTCTAGTTCTGAAATCTTCTCTGTCAGCCTGACTAATTCCCTACATTTATGACATGTGAAGCTTTCTCCGCCGACAGAGAAGTCTATACTGTACATGTAGCAGGCAGTGCAAGTGACAATAACAGGAGATGACATTACTCACCGTCTTCGTTGATTGTTCCTACTCACCACAGTCGTTTGATGGACTCTTAAAGGCGCGAGTGGAAAAGACGGCAAGCACAGATGGCTGGTTAACAGGCTAGCGAAATGCTAGCGCATTGTGCTAGCGATAACGATTTAGTTAAAAGCTAGCGATGTCAGATAAATGTAATAGGCAATATTAGACAATATCTGATATATGGTGATGAGTAAGTTATATTAGCAATATAAACAACAAGGAATGATAGTAAATAAAGATTCAAAACAAAGCTACAAGGAGCTTTCAGCCACTCAGCCGCAAGGCAGACAGGAGCCATCGATATATTCGCTTTAATATATTATGTTTTATTAGACAGGTAAGCAACTGTTTGGATACCTTAATCAACAGAAAACGAATTGTTATAAAGCTCAACATGGCTAGTATCTTGATTTACCGTGAGTAACATGTTTGTACCATGGTTCAGAGACAACACTATTTTGTCAAGTGTCTAATATAGCATAGAAAGAACAGTAATACAGCATTGTCTCCACCATGCAATATATTTTAAAATTAACTGCATGCCAGCATCAGAAGCTATTAAAATTATATTCTAATATCGATCTAGGCTAGCTTTTTCTGCAACAAGTGTCATACCATCCACCGAGCGAAGTAACATTATAACATAACTTTCAACACACTCAAATGTATTTTTAGCTGGTCATTCCTTGTCAACTCAAATTTTTGATTTTGTTTAAATTTTTTCATAAAAAGAAAGATAAACATAAATAGTGATTAGTGATGTAAGGCAACATATTAAATGTCACAGATGTATATTTTCTGAGTAACTCTTGTAGAGGGGGTCAAAATGACAATTATCACATGAGATTTGGAGCCAAATTACAGGAGGGTAAAAATGACTTTAGAAAGACGGCAGCATTATTGTTTTATTTGTACACAGAGATTGGTAGGTCTCAGAGAAAGTAGACATGCAGGAACACTTATGCAGGAGTGAAAGTCTTGTAAGCCCTGACTGTGGGCGGTTCCCAATGGCGGCTCCAGCCAATCACAGAGCTCTAATTGATTGCTCAGCTGTCAAGCACCCTTCAGTGAGACGCTGCGTTCTGGGAACTTCACTGACCTGAAAACAAGCGAGAAACTCCCTCACCGCGCTTGGATTTTTACAAAAGTGGGAGACTGTACGATCCTTGGCAGTGTTCTGAGACTGTACAGTCACTTTTGTCCTGCTGGTGGACTTAACTGCATTCTCACGATCAGTTTTGTTGTTATTTAACGCGAGTGTTTTGGAGCGTGTTCTGTTAGCACAGAGATCTGACTGCTGTCGAATTTCGGGAATAACGAAGGGACCGAGAGATGACAGCTGAGAAAGAGAAGAAGAGGTGAGTTAAGCGGGCTGTGAGTGAGTAATATTGTAGGCTACTCTGTTGTAGACACTGCAACTGTTGCGCAAAGTTCAGGTTTATGAAGCGGCAACAACAAGTGAATCTCTGTATGAGACTCAAACGCGCTGCCGACGCTTAAAGCCAGATGCTTCATTGAGACATTCACTGCTTATTTCACTCTACACACAACGTCATAAGCGAAAGAGAAAGAAAGTTTATTTATTTACCAATGTGCATGAGTACCAACTGTACCTAGATATTTGTATTACCTTAAACGCATTTTAAAGATGTCAAAGCATCTTAATCTCTCTCTTTTTTCTTTTTTTTAATACAATATAATTCTGTACACTTTAAAAAAAAATTTTTTTATGATTTATCACATTTTATTTCTTTTATCAAACTTAAATAAATTATGTGGTTCAGATACCATGTTTTGAGTTTCTGTTGTATTAACAATTTTTAAATTTCAATGAACTTAAAATGTTAAGGCAACCAGTTTACTTTTTTAAGTTAAACCAACATTTTTGTTTTTAGAGTGTAGAAAATATTCTGTATTCTCTCATGTGCCTAAGCTTTTATTATTATTAAAAATTTATACTAGAGATACCTAACATTATAAATAGTAGTACATTGTAAAAAATATTTTTATTTATCATTATATTATAACAATTTTAGTTTGCTTTCATTACAGTTGATACAATTCTTACACATTTGTGTAATTTGTACTAAATTGTATGAGTTTTAACCTAATTTCCTGAATCGGTAATTAAATTCAGAGTGGTTGAAACTGCATTTCGTGACTTTGGCACCACTTTGATTTCACTTGACCGTTAAAGGCAGCACACTTTTACCTAGTGGGTTGAAATTTATTACAGTAAACAACTTTTTAGTGAAGCATAAAGTTTTTAGGTAGCATATTGATATTAAATGATCTTTACACAGCCTGGAAATCTCTGGTAACTTGAAGTCATGTGTATCATTGAAGATTGAAGACCATCAGAGTGCCAAGAGTCCCATTAATGAGACTGAAAAATGGAGAATGGGTTTGTGCATGTGTCACGGCTCTGAGAGCGCCTTGAAGTCTGCCTCATCCTCGTGACGTTTATTCCCTAACAAGCTTTCTGCCTCTTATCAGATGAATCTCAGGGTGGCAGAACATAACCAAACATCGCTACCAAACTCAAATGAACAGAATGTATCTATGTACAGGACTGATTTAAAAGGGGTGCAAACACTTTAACCTGAAGACACAAGACTGTGATCCTGCCTGTCACTGAAGGGGATGTGTTATGTGTGCGTGTGTGTGTGTATTTTATGTTTGTCTATACTGAACCCATATGTTTTGGTAGTTTTCTTGTGAGATATTAGCTCAACCCTGACAAGTTTTATATATATTTTGACATGTTTGTATTCATGCATGTTTCGTAAGATGGAGAGCCCCCTCCATGGCCCCTATATATATCATAAGCTTCAGTGGGTTATAGTGATGCACCCAAATGCATTTTTTACCAAAACACAGAAACCACAAAAAAACATTTCATTTAGTAAAAAACAAACAAAAACAAAACAAAACGTAAACCATTTTCAGTTGCCAATATTTCAGTGCGTCATTATTATGTTTGATCAGAACTGCAATTATGCACAGTTTGCAATGACAGGAATGAGCAAGCCTCTAATGAAGTCATTGTTATGGTAATCATCAAAGCTCTGACTGAACATTAACTATTTGTGTGCTCATCAATAGAACTGGTTTGATTGCCTGAATTGGTCAGTTTGGACACTTTTTACTCCCCATTTGTTGCAAGTCTAATTTGTTCATTATTTGTTCCTGTAGTTCTCCGTTACGTCAC